GGGAGTCTGCTTCCCCCTCTGACCCTCCTGACCCTCCCCCCTCTCATGTGCTCTCTCTCTCTCAAATAAATAAATAAAATCTTTAAAAAAAAAGAAAAAAACCCAACAGTAATAATACCCATTCCCAGTGGCTGGAAACGACACTAAAATAGGGTCAGGGATGTAAAGCAGTTTGTCCTTCATGGGCTTAGCGGGAGTGAGTTGCGCTTTGGGAATGTGCATGTCTGGGGGGGAGTCGGTCCCTGTTCCATCAGCCTGGAGCGTCTCCCACGTGGGAACCCTAACATACAGACGGTTGGGGCAGGATGGCCGCCCTCTGGGACATCCGCGTTTGTGCCTGTCACATAAAATCTCGGACTCTTCAAGGGCAGGGACCCACATCTTATCTGGGTTTGTGGCCCCAGCAGCATCACACACCATTCTGGACACACAAATGCTTGTTCTTGGGGGTGACCACCTGCTTGGGAATATCTAGGACAGGGGAGAGGAAAGATTCGGATGGGATGGAGCAACTTGGACGAGGGAGTCATGTCGGGAGAACAGTGGAGGAGTCACACACAGAAGAAACTACTCTTCTCAGACACCTGGTACATCAGCCACGTGCCCCCCAAACACAGGAGAACCGGGTTAGCCTGTGGTTGAGCCTGACCACCACTGCTCCTGGGAAGCAAGGATTAGCTGTCTGCCCCAGTGCCTGGAGGGGGCCGAATAATGTTCCCCCATAATATCAGGCCCTAATCCCTGAAACCTGTGGATGTTACCTTATACGGTAAAATCTTTACAGATGTGATTTCATTTAAGATCTTGAGCTGGGGAGGTTATCCTGAATTATTCGGGTCCTAAATGCAACCAAAGTGTCTTTATAAGAGGGGGGCACAGAGAGGTCTGACAGACAGAAGAGGAGGAGGCCATGGGACCACGGAGGCAAGGACTGGAGTGATGAGGCCACAAGCCAAGGAACGCTAGCAGCCACCAGAAGCTGGAAAAGGAAAGGACTCATTCTCCCCTAAAACCTCCAGAGGGAGCACAGCTCTGGCAACATCTTGACTTTGGACTGATTTTAAACTTCTGGCTTCCAGAACTATGAGAAAAAAAATTTCTGATGTGTTAGGCTATCAGATTTGGTTGGTCATTTGTTACATCAGCCACATGTAAAACTAGCACAGTTCACTAACTCACCAGACCACTTGGCAAGCACCTACCGTGTGCTGGGCCCGCTTAGCAAGCACCTACTGTGTGCTAGGCACTGTGCTAGCCAAGGCAGTACACAGTGAGTAGGTCAGTCAAGGCCCTGCCTCCTGGGGCCGACAGTATACTTGGGGGCCGGGGGCAGGAGGGACAGAGGATGAACAAGTAAGTGACAGACACCACTCCTTGGCTATGTGCCAGGCATCATCTTCCATATGCTTCCTGTGTATTCACTAAATCAATCCTCACGGCAGCCGTATGGGGTAGGGTTCTGTTATTCCCATCTTGTAGATATGGAAACTGAGGCACAGAGCGGCTGGTCTGAAGCCACACAGACCATAAATGGGAGAGCCCGGTGTGTGCGCTCAGAACCTCTGCTCTGAATCATCTTTTGTTAGATGATAAGACCTGTGAGACGGTAGTTGTAACAAGTGAGGTGAAGGTAGTAGACGGGGTGGGAGGGTCGTTGAGGGGGGCAGGGAAGGAAGGGCCTCTGTGGGGAGGGGACGGTTGAGCTGAGGCCTGAACAACGAGGGGAGCCAGTCCAGACGTTGGAAGAGAGGAACATGCCAGCCCGGCGTCCTGAGGTGGGGATGAGCTCGGAGGGACCCAGGGACAGGAAGCAGGCGCTGGCTCCGGGGAACGGGGCACGGAGAAGGCTCGGGGCCAGCAGCATCTCGGCATCTCCGTAGGAAGCTGCAGGTGGGTTAAGCCAGGGAGGCGGAGGGGGAGGCTCACCTGCTGGTCTCGCTCGCCCCACCCCAGGCATGTCAGAGCGTGAGCGGCAAGTGATGAAGAAGCTGAAGGAGGTGGTGGACAAGCAACGCGACGAGATCCGTGCCAAGGACAGGGAGCTCGGTCTGAAGAATGAGGATGTGGAGGCTGTAAGTGACGAGCCCTTACCCCATGTCCACCCTCCCGGCCAGCCGATACAACGGGAGACTGGATCCTCCCCGCAGGCGGTTCCCCTTTTCTCCCTTGGGCTCATGCTGTGGGCTCTGTGGGGCGGGGGTCCTGCCTGAGGCCGCAGCTGTGGGGAGGACCCTCAGCCGGGTCCGCATTGTAACAGCAGGAGGGAACGTGGCACTGCCTGGTGACCTGCTGCTCCCACGCCCTCGGGAGCTGCCGAGGCCCAGCCTGGCTTTGTTCTGACCCTGAGGCTTCCTCCAGCCCACCCTCTTCGTGCCCCTCTATGCGCAGGCCAGCATGGTTCAGGCTGCTCCAGGAACCCATACGGTGTCTCCACCTGAATTAGAAAGATACCCCTTTCGGGGCACCTGGGTGGCTCAGTCGTTAAGCGTCTGCCTTCGGCTCAGGTCATGGTCCCAGGGTCCTGGGATCGAGCCCCGCGTTGGGCTCCCTGCTCCGCAGGAGGCCTGCTTCTCCCTCTCCCACTCCCCCTGCTTGTGTTCCTTCTCTCGCTGTGTGTCTCTCTGTCAAATAAATAAATAAAATCTTAAAAAAAAAAAAAAAAAGAAAGATACCCCTTTCTTAAGGCATGTTACTTCCATCTGTTGGGAAATCATCATGATATACTGACAAAACACTTACCTTCCATCTGTCATAAAATTATCATAGTAAATATACAAATTGCCCATCTCTGGCATCAACAGTTGTAAGAATATGAACAAACTTCAAACGAGTGAGGATGTCTCCAATATGATGGCACGCCTGTAGAGGATTTGCCCTTGTGTAGTACACAACATGAGCTACTGTATGTGGCAGCCCCATAAATGGCCTTCCTCTTTCTCCAGCTGCAACAACAGCAGACCCGGTTGATGAAGATCAACCACGACCTCCGGCACCGTGTCACAGTGGTGGAGGCCCAGGGGAAGGCCCTGATTGAACAGAAGGTAGAACTAGAGGCAGATCTGCAAACCAAGGAACAGGAGATGGGCAGCCTACGGGCAGAGCTTGGGAAGCTGCGAGAGAGGCTGCAGGGCGAACTCAGCCAGAATGGAGGGGAGGAGCCCGAGGTAAGTGGGAAGCCAGCCACTGAAGCAGATGGGAAGGTAGGTCTGTGAGCTGGCTTGAGGTGGGCAAGGCTGCCTTGCTTTCCCCATTACGCTTGAGGGAAATGGGAGGAACCTGGGAGGAGCTATGGTGTGTAGCTAACTGTGTGGATGCTAGAGCTGGTCTGCTTCGGTTCAGTCTAGCCTGTTACTATCTCCATGACCTTGGATAAGTTATTTAGCCTTTCTGTGGCTCAGTTTCTTCGAGTCTAAAATGGGAATAATAATAGTACTTAGCGCCAGATTATTATGAGAACTAAATGAGTTAGTTCATTTAAAGTGTCAGCTGCCACAATCATCTGGAGGAGTCAAAACTTTTCGAAGGAAGTGACTAAAAGAATGAGAGTAAACAAGTGAATGGAGAGTGAGTTCCAGGCGGGGGGTGGCACATGCAAAGGCCCTGTGGCAGGAGAAATTGCAATGGAATCGAGAAAGGATAAGAAGGCGAGGGTGGCTGGTATGCAGGGGGAGGAGGAGGAAGAAGGTCTGAGTGAGGTCAGAGAGATAGGTAGGGGTCAGTCCTGCGGGCCAGGTAGGCCACAGAGTGGAGTTTGGTCTTCTACCTGAGAGCACTGTGCTGAGTACTGTGGAGCTTCAAAGAGCTTACAACCCAGTGCAGGAGACAGACTTGGGCACCTCCAAGTGGCGTCACACTTAAGGTGGGAGGGGACTCTCTTAGTGGTAAGAGATTGTCTTCGTCTGGGTTCCCTTGAGGCAAAGCTTGAGAAAAGGAAAATGGGCAGGAGATCAGAGGCGTGAGACAGGGGAGAAGGAAAAGTGAATTTGAGTATGTGTTATTGGGGCTGCGGTGGGAGCTCAGTCCTGCTGGGACCTCTGAGAAGCACATAGACCATGTCCCAGAACCGTCTTTCTGGAGGAGAAAGGCTTGGAACATAAATTTATCCGCCTGCACCTGCCCCCAGTAGCTGAGGGTAGCCCCCGGGGGTGTTATCTCCCTGATATTCCTGGGTGGAACTTATAGAGCAGATCTCAGGGCATGAGTGGGAAGACATGCAGTGTGTGCTTGAGGCGGGGCCCCATCCGCATGGGTGGGACTACACCACAGCTGCAGCGAAAATCCACATGGGCCCAGGGCTGCGACATGGGGTGCCAGAGGTGTCTCCCCCGAAGATGTGCCCCCCGGGGGGGGGTGCCAGCAACGCAGAAGTAGAACAGTTAATCCTGATGGGGGTGGTGTGCAGTTTCATGGAAGAGCTGTCCCTTCAGCTGGATGTCAGTGTTCACAATGCTAAGATTTTGAGAGGTAGATGAAGATGATGGATATGCTGCTTCAGAAAAGCATAGTGGACTCTTAGGGAAAAGCTCGGGGCTTACTCTTTCTTCCAGCAAATATTTATTGACTGTTTCCAGTTTGCAGGCACTGTGCTAGTTTCCTGGTTACAGGTCGGGGAGGTAAGACAGATGAGCTCACCATCAGGTTGGCCCAAGTGCCAGCACAGTCAGTAGGAATCTTTCAGGCCAGACACTTCTAGGTTCTCTGAAGGACAGGAACCTGGGATACAGTTAGGGAGGTAAGGGAACGAAGTCTTAAAAGGGAGAGGTTAGGGCTAGTTTTTGGCCAAAAATGACAGAAGCCTAAATTAAAATGGGTTTAAGGATTTAAAAAAAGAATTTTTGGTTGTATAGCTAAAAACTTTGAGTTAAGGATGGCTTCAGGTATAGCTGGTTCCAGGTGCCCAAATGATGCTATCAGATGTCTCAGCTTTGCTTTCCTCTGTGTTGGTGTTGTTCTCAGGTAGGCTATGCCATATCGTGGCCCTTGGTACTCTTATCAGCTTTGCAACCCCAGTGAAAAGAAGTTGCCTCTTTCCCAAATTCCCAGCAAGTCTCAGGAAACCCTCTCCTCAGCCCATCACTGAACCAGTCATGGTGGCCTGAGGTCTAGAATATGCATGGTGTCCATTCCTGAGTCATATGGCTACCCCTCGTGGTGCCCATCCATGCCTCATGCGCTGAGAGTGGGGCTAGGGGAGTTTCTCCAGAGGACAGCTGCAAGGACTCAGCCCCGAGAAGTACGGAAACAGATGCAGGGCAGGCAAAGACGCAGCTGTTACCTACAGTGCCCAGAATGCCACACACGCAGCTCTGGGCCATGGGGAATGTGGATCCCTCCACAGGCTTCGGCAAGGGAGTAATGGGATCAGCTCTGAGTTTATGGAGGACAGTTTGAACAAGGAGGTTGCTGATGGCAGAACATGGCTGTTGGGAGCCCTTTGCAATAATCCAGGCAAGAAAGTCAAGGGCTGACCCAAATCTATGGCAGTGGGATGCAGGGGATGAGGCAGATGCCAAAAACAGCTGCTAGGCAGCTTGGCACAGTTACTCCCCTCCTCCCCTGGTGTACCCCTTCCAGCCTCTTGTGCCCCATGAGAACTCAGGCCTGTCTCCTCCTGGGCAGTAGGGGCTCGGTCGAAACCCAGGTCCTGAGGACACCACCCCAGCCACAACACTCTATTTAGCAACAAGGACAGGGACATGTCATACCTCCTTGGCCCGCCTGCCTGTCTGTTTCAGTTTCTCTTGCTGGAAAGGGGGGGCGGGGAGGCACAGAAATGGAGGAGTAAAGTCAGGTAGCAGTTATAATTAACCCACTGAGCTGCTTTGCAGAGTCTGTTCCCAAACTCAGGGTGCCTTTGCTGGGTTTGACTCCCGCCCTCAGAGCTGGGTGGAGTTCAAGGTGCTTGTCACTCAAACAGGGAAGCCGCAGGCCATGGTGGCTTTCCACCTGCAGCTGTGTGACCTGGGGCTCATGCATCATTTTGGTGCTCAGCTTCCTGTCTGATAAGTGAGGGGAATGAGCTTGACTTGGTTCAGTAGATCAAATAGTGTGGCTGGGATCAAGGGCCGTGGGATTGGAGGAGGGCACAATGAATTCTCAGTGGGAAGCGAGGGCAGGGCAGGTGTTCAAGGCATTGAGATGGGTCTTACGGGATGGGTAGGATGTCTGGGGTGGAATGTGGGGGTAGGCCACCCCAGACAGGAGAAAGAACGTGAGCCAGACTGGAGAATGAGCAGGTGCGGCTGGGATGGTGGGCTAGTCCTGGCACGAGATTGGTAAGAGGAGATGGGAGCTATGGAGGGATCCAGAGCTGGGGAGGAGTCCGTTCTCATCAATGCCTAGATTACTCCGGTTCTCCCCCTTGATTCATGCAATCCTTTCTGAGCTATGTCACTGTCATTTCACTGTGATCTCCAGTAAACAAAGCTCCTGGTATATTTTTGTAACATAGTTATTGAGATATAATTCAACTATTGAAAGTATACAATGCGATGGGTTTTAGTATATTTACTCTCTCGTACAACCAACACCACTATCTAGAACGTTTCCATCACCGTAAAAAGAAACGCCGTACCCACAAGTAGCCACTCCCCATCTCTGCCCCTTGCAGCCCCTGGCCACCACGAAGCTATTTTCTGTCTCTACGGATTTGCCTGTTGCAGACATTTCAGGGAAACGGAGTCGTGGGACATGTGGTCCTGACCAGCTTCTTCGCTCAGTGTTTTCTCACTCATCCAGCTCCTCATGTTTTCACACGGAAGCTTCCTGCCTTTCACAGGTAGACATAGAAACTCCTAAGAAAATGATTTGGTGGGCTCCCTGTCTAAAGACTTCATATAAAATCAGTAAGAAAACTGACGTTAATAGTTACCTACTTGACGTCTGTGCCTTACAAATTCTGATGTCTTCGTAAGTGTGTGTGTGTTGTTTAAGTGCATGGGGAAAGCAGATGGGGCCTAATGGCTGGCGTGTGAAGCCAGGTTTTCTGGCTGAATGTGTGCATGGTGGGCCTAGAAGTTACCGGGGGTGACCAGGGCACAGTCACTCCCCCTTGCTGGGCCAGGGGCTGTTCAGAAATATGTTCGAGGGGCTGCCGGAGCATTGTGGCCTTGATGTGCCCACGCAGGGGAAGTGGGTCCAAGAGGCCAGGCCTAAGGACGCGGGGCTCTGGTGGAGGATGTTGCTTCCATTTCGGCCACTCTGGTCCTGCTGCTTGTCAGCGGGTTCTCCTGGGCCTCCCTGGGGAGTGCCTGGGGCCTCAGGGCATCTCCCTCTGTGCCCAAAGTGCCTCCGGGGACCAGCGGACAATCCTCGATAACCCCAGGCACCTCCATGGTCCCTCGTGGAGTAAGCCTAGAAGACCCACTGCCGATGGGCCTGATTTCCATATTGGAAAGAGCCTTTTCAGTCTCTCTCCCAGGACAGGCCCATCCAAGGGTGCTGCATTAGTGCCTGCTGGCTTCCAGCAAAGCTGCACTCCCAGGCAATGGTCCTGGAAGTCGGGGCTTTTTTTGCAGACCTGTCTGGGAATCCCCCAAGCTCTAGGGCATCGGGTTGCTACCCTGACTGAAGAGCCATCCCTCCTCCAGAGAAAAAGACCTCAGGCCTGAGGAAGCCCTTCGATGTCTCGGGTGCTCACAACCCATGGGGGTAAGCAGAAACCGGCTGTGTCCGGAGGGAGTGTGTGAGCCTGAGGTTTGGGTCCATAGCCTGGGCTGCCAGTGCTTATGGGGCCCAGGCACGGAAGGAAAAAGGGGTAGGGGCTGAGCAAGCTGGAAAGAACACATAGAAGGCAATAGCTGCCACGTAGGACCAGCCCAGTGTTACCATGTGGACCCAGTGTGACCCAATCTTCCAGTATTCTTTCCAAAAGGAAGCCCAAGACCCAAACTTTAGTGTGAAATCCCCCAATATAAAACTGTTGGAAACTAATTCCAAAAAGTTCCGGAGGGGTGCCTGGGTGGCTCAGATGGTTAAGCGTCTGCCTTCGGCTCAGGTCATGATCCCAGGGTCCTGGGATCGAGCCCTGCATCGGGCTCCCTGCTCAGCAGGA